GCCTATTGTTTTATGGTGATTTCCTCTGTGAGTAGAAAAGTAGCCATCTTACAAATTTCGCAAATGAACAAAAGGTCAGATGTGTAGGGCGTGCAATTGATCATTGAAAAAAAATTAATAATTTCAAAGTTATTTCAAGAGTAAAACAGGAAATTCAAAGCTACTTTATATTTCAAACTTCAATGGAAAATTTAATAAAGTCGAAGTTTGTTTGTTAACATCTTTCCCAACTCTAATTTTTCTTTATACAAAGATATCGACACGATTCTGTTGGAAAATGTCCTTTAAAAATTTTCTTTATTTTGGAATAGGACCAAATTTTTCGGATGTCTATTTTACCCCACTCTTGAATAATTTCTAAGTTGTGGACTTTGCCAAGAAGCAATTTTTAAAAATCAATTATTGAAAATGTTTTGAGTGTTCATTTTAGTTCCGTCCATACAGATTTATCAGGTGCCCATAATGCCCAATGAATCAATTTATAACATTTTGAATTTTGCAAAAAAAAATTTTTTCGCCAATTTTTGAGTGTCCATTTTATTTCAGTTGTCCATATTACCCCGCCCCCTCTAATTTTTTCAAAAACCGGAGAATTTTCCGAGAATTTTGTCGAAAACCTAAGAATTATCTACAACTGTCTCGAAAACCCAAGTTTTTTCTGGAATTTTCTAGAAAACTGAAGAATTTCTTGGTACGTGCTCGGACACCCTAGAATTTCCTCGAATTTTGTTTGAAAACTCTAAATATCTTTGTAATTTTTTCGAAAACTAGAATGTTTCTGCGAAATTTTTTAGGAATTTTCGCAGAAACCGCAGAATTCTCTCGAAAATCGGAAATATTTCTCGAAAACTTCATAGTAAACATGAGAAGATCGACCGGAAAAAATAAACACGAACAAAATAAGAAACAAAAACAGTAAACGCAACATTAAGGAAATTGAATCATTCCATTTTTTTCTGACCTAAATGATTTGGACAATTATAATTTGTTTATCAATCGAAAAGACATAGTAACTTGGTTAAGGTATTCATCTTTTAAATGAGAATTCAAATTTTCAGTGAAATTTGAAATTTCAAGAATATCTTTCCTCAAACTGAAGTAAATGTCTCTCGCCTGAAAATTACTACTGAACTGTCCATGAAATTTTATTTTGTTTTCCAACACTATAATTGCTATGTACTCATAATTATTAGGGAACATTTTTAAAATCTTCTAAAAAAATAGAAAGTCGATTTTTCTGAGTATGGTCGGAAAATTGTGATTTTTGGAGACTACGACCTTTTTTGCTTCCGAATGGAAGCTTTGTAATCGTGATTTTTTTTCGATTTTCTTAATTTTGGGTGGCAGTGCATAGAAGTGTCATGAAAAGTGAAGAAATGGTGTTTTTAAAAAATGTCTGTATGTGAGTAGGTATGTGTGTGCACATGTGTATTCGTATGTCCAGAACAGTCCCCATAACTCGAGAATTATTGAGGCAATCATGCTGAAATTCTGTCTGCTAATTGGTACTACTGAGACCCAAATTTGGACTAAATTTCAGGGCGATCTGTTGAGGCGGTTCCTGAGATATAGCGATTCTTCGAAAATCATTTCTTGCCGATATCTCCAGGACCATTCGACCTATTAGATTTTTTTTTCAAAATACTCGTCATGATGATACCTATTTAATTGGATTGAAAAAAGACCATTACATCCCGAGCAACGTAGTTTTATTCTCACTTTTTCATGTTTTCGCTGAAAGTATCTGTTCGCACGATAACTTAATAAATAATCGAGATAGAAACTTGAAACTTGGTATGATTTTAGATTTCATGGTAAAAAAATTTGGGATTCTGGATGAACGAAATCTTTTGGTCAATATCTCAAAAACTATTGGTCCGATTCCATTTTTTTTTCACACACCTTCACGGAAAGTTCGTACTTTGCTCCCTGATGAGCGAGAGGAAAGTAAGTACTTCCCGCCCTAGGATGGAAAGTACTCACGTTCCTCCCGCTCATCAAAGAGCAAAATACGAACTTTCGTTTGCAGGCGTGTTAAACAAATAGCATGTGCACCTCGGGCGGGAAACTGTGACTTTCCGCCCTTGATGCACAATATACTATTTTCTTTCAAAATGTGCGCTTTGGTGCCATTTATCTAGATACAACAAAATGTGGGTACCATCCTATTGAAATTTTTCGAGATATCGTTGTTTTTGTATTTTTTGCTCGGAGTTCACTTTTGCGCACTATGACATGGGTAAAAGTCAGGGAAACCTTGGTTTCTAGTTAGGAGTGTCAAAGAACATACCTATATCAAATTTTAGGTCTATGTATTTGATAGTTCTCGAGATGAAATAATTCATCCAAAATTTTTGAGAAAAAAAAATAACGCATCTATATTTCACCGTCCACATGCACAGCTACATAACTGAGGAAGCCATATAACATTAACATTGTTGCATGAAATTGCAAATTTATTTGATTGGAATAGGGGAAAATGAGTGCGATTGGCCTTAATATTTTCAAAAAATGGGAATCCATATGCTTTCATTTTTTGAAAACGTACATTAAGATCCATTCGGAAGCGTACTACTAATGAAATTTGGTAGAAATGAAAATAGGGAACATATACGTGGAGAGTAGCAGCCATATGTAATCTGTCAAATGGCTTCTGTCGCACTGTCTGTTTATTTAGCTAATTCAATAATAATATATTTTTCACTCTAAAAATAATTGTTTCTGAATTGTAACGAATTTTTCCCCTTTCTGAATTTCACCAAAATTTAATTGTATGCCTAAAAATATTCTTCTGACAGTTTGAACCATTTTCATTATTCATTCCTGAGAATGTTGAAAAAAAGCAATTATTTGCAGAATTTCGTTCAAAAGACGCTGATTATCCATGCTTTATTTGCTTTGATTCCACCCTTGACATTCAAGTTAATCTAATTATCAATGACTCCACTTAGTTTGTCAGTTCTAAGCACTTATCACTGATAAATAACTTCTGATTCAAATCATTATAAATAAATACATGTGTAGGAAACATGCTCTGATGTACTTTATGCTTGCAGGGTGTTTGTTTCTTATTTGGGGCTAGAAGTCCGCTTTTAAATTCGCGCGCATTGAAACATTGAGGTGCCATTTTTTACACTGCCATCTTGCGGTATTTCTCCGTAACCTTGTACTAATAATCAGCTGATGTGATACTCAGTTCTATTCGATTAATCGAAATCGAATGCAAAATAATCGATTATCCCCATGAGATCCGCCATGTTCGATTAGTGACCCATGTCTTTTTTCATATAGGAAGGATCAACGTTTAGTTCTCCTGCATTTTCCCCTCCGTCGCCATCCTGGAAATTATCCAGTATCCACCAAAATTCACCTGATTTTACGCACCATACCTGAGAAGGAAAAATAATCCAGTCCCCTGCACGCAAAGTTAGAAAGCACATGGACTGCAGTCGACTAGTTTCTATTCCATTCTTTCTCCAGGGCTGTACAGTAATGTGTATTTTTGTAATACCTGCCTGAAAAATGAACTTTTCGGCACGGTTTAATGTGGTCCAAGTGAATTCTTGTGCGTAAAGCAAAGTTTTATGCACCAGAAATTCATGTTTTCACACCGCTGCACTGAAAGTTCATACTTTACTCCCGCTCATTATAGAGCAAAATACGAACTTTCCTTTGCAGGCGTGTTAAAAAATCGCATGTGCACATTCGCAATATATTATTCCGTCCCGGCGGGCGCAATAAAGTTACATTTCCCTCCCGCTTCGCGGGAGGGAACTCTCACTTTGCGCCTACGCCGAGACGGAAAATCGCGTTCTAACCACGGGAAGTAAAATAAAGGACCCTCAGCCGCGTGCTTACCAACCTCGCCTTCGGCTCGGCTGGTAATTGCACTGGCGGCTAAGGATCCTTTATTTTCCCTCCCTAGGTTAGAAATATACTATTTTCACACACCTGCTCGGAAAGTTCGTATTGTACTCCCTGATGAGCGGGAGAAAAGTGAGTACATCTCGCACTAAGTTGGAAAGTTGTTCCCTCGGGCGGGAAGTACTGTTTTTATTTTCCGCCCAAGGACGGAAAGTCTGTACTTTTCTCCCTCGGAAGTAACTTTCCGCTCTTGGTCCACATTATACTATTTTATCTAGACTGGAAATAGTATCTTTCCCACCACGGAAGGAAAAATAAAGAAGTCGTGCCCACGTGCAGAATTACCTGGTAAGTACGTGGGTAAGGGTCCTTTATTTTACCTCCCGTGGTGAGAACATTCTTTGTCGTCACGGCGTAAGCGGAAAGGCAGATTTTCCTCCCGCGAGGCGAGAGGAAAGTGTGTCCCTTCCGTCCGCCGTGGCGAAAAAACGTTTTCCCACGATTTTCCCGCTTCGCGGAGGAAAATCTGCCTTTCCGCCTACGCCATGGCGAAAAATAACGTTCTCACCATGGGAGGTAAAATAAAGGACCCTTACCTACGTGCTTACCAGGTAATTCTGCACGTGGACACGACTCCTTTATTTTCCCTCCCTTGGTGGGAAATATACTATTGTTATACCATGCTAAGAAATTTCAATCAATGAAAATTCATTATATGTACGAAAACGTAATCCTTTATTTCATCATAAAACGGCCAATTATTTTATGAGGCAGTCCCACATTATTTCATAATAATTGTATCGATTGGCGATTATAATCCCTTTTTTTCATTGTTTTTATTTTCTTTGTATCATTTCATTACAGTGAATTTTCCCATGGCCACTCCAGAAAGACATTTCATGAAAGAGTTACAAGAGCAATTGTTTCGATGAACCTTCAGGAAATAGTATGCCCTGTCAGCAGATCTGCCATGCCATCCTTGATTACTTTCAAACTTTCCATGTCTGTGTTTATTGTGTCAATCAGCTGAGCCATTCCTTGTTGTTGCAAACTCAAGTACTGAAAAAGGAAGATTATTATTTTTCCGTCCCGGCGGGCGCAAAGTTACATTTCTCTGACTTTGCGCCTACGCCGAGACGGAAAATCGCGTTCTAACCACGGGAATTAAAATAAAGGACCCTCAGCAGCGTGCTCACCAACCTCGCCTTCGGCTCGGCTGGTAATTGCACTGTCGGCTGAGGATCCTTTATTTTCCCTCCCTAGGTTAGAAATATACTATTTCACACACCTATACGAAAAGTTCGTACTTTGCGCCCTGATAAGCGGGAGGAAAGTGAATACTTTCCACCCTAGAGCGGAAAGTACTCACTTTTCTCCCCCTCATCAGAAAGCAGAATACAAATGTTTCTGGCAGGCGTTTTAAAAAATAGCATTTGCTTCTCGGGTGGGGAAAACATCACTTCCCACGCTTGACGCACAATATACTATTTTGAATGATTTCACAATTGAAAACCAGTTTTCAACATTTTTCCGTAAAATCATTCATTGTGGAAATTATTTCATAATGAACTGATTTGATTTAAGCCATTTCATTAGTTCAAATAATAAAGTGTTTAGTAACCGGAATTGATGAAGAGAACTTTTCACTTGTTTTTCAAGAATTTGACTCTTTTGTTATTGAAAGAATAAACTTTCTCAATGGAATAAAGAAACAATCGAGTACACTTACAGCTTTGATATCATCTTGTACAATGGGATCCATAGAATATCTCTCTTGACTCTGCATATCAACGTGTTTTCTCATTCTTAAATGTGACAACATTTCACTAATTCTGCCTTTAAATTGTGTGGGTGCACTGATTTGTGAATGCATCGTTTCCAGTCGATTTGTTAATATTTCTTCCTCTGGCTGAAGGGAGAGACCAACTTTTCTGGTAATTTCTTGTCGCACTAACACCTAAAAACGGAAAAATAGAAAAATGAATAGAGTTGAATAGAGGAGACAGGAAAGTGAGGAGATTGTTCTCAAGTTAAGTATAAATGATTAATGAAATGAACATTGAGAAAAGATTATTTAATTTAATTGCAACAAATCAGAACAAATCCTTATGATTAAAGGAGCAAGGCGTTTTGTTATTTGTTTTCAATTTTTCAGTTATTGAGAAAAAAGTCCATACAGTAGAATCCCGCAGTTTGCATCCTTTTTGCACTACGCTATAATTATCGCCTAGCGCTTCTTTCCTTTCCACGAATGCATCTTTCCCTACCCTCACTCTGAAACAACTAATCGGGCGTGACGATTGAGCGGGATGATTCGAAATAAACATGTAGGTTTTTGCATGAATTTTAGATCGAGATATTTTTCATCATTGGATACTATGTTTTTTGACCTGCTGAATCCGAATATTAATATCTCAGAGCCAAACTCCTATGATTTTTCTTGCTATTAAAAATTGTTTATAAACAATTAGAAATTCGACAGTTACGGCCGGGAATTTTTTTTTTCATAAATTGAAAAAATTTATAACCAAATGATTTTTTAACGTGCTTTCGATATTGTTTACTGAAAATGATTGTTTTCGTGTATCACGATGATGTTTCGGTTCTTTATAGGATACCTGAGGCATTTATGAAAAAACCGACTTCATTTGCATTTTATTCATCTTTTTTAAAATAATTTTGTCCAATGAAAGATACAAACATTTTAATGATCAGAGGGCAAATGTTTTTCTTCTAAATATCCAAGACATTTTGAAATCGGCTAGTACTCATGTTTTTTCCGTGAACTCGACCGTTTGTTAAATAAAAAATTCTAAAGAATTTCATTTTTTACAATTTATACTTTTTTATTGAACAAACGGTCGAGCTGGTGAAGCAATTGTGACGAAGTAGGTTCGTTGTGTCCTCGACTGGACGTGTGGGGAAACGAAATAAGGTAATATTAATGCGCTCGCATGCCCCGGTCTCGAGTAGTGAGGTTAGAATTAAGAGAATGGAAGAATGATTGGAATGATGAATGCCAACGAGGAGTCCTGACTCACTAGGAACACCAGAAAGTTTGCAGCCACAGGAGAGGACTACCAATAGGCCTGTGGAACAAGAAACCATCTTCTGAAACCATGGAAAACACCAAACGAAAATCTTACACAGTCACGCCCTTCACACCTGTCATAACATTGTCCCGCGGGGTTATTCAGATCTCCTGCGGACCCAAAAGAATATCCCATGAGGGCACACAACCACACACACGCAAACCGTCAATAGTATGGGTAATCGCTGAGGCCCATCTACAAGGCAATCCTATACGTCGGAAAGACCTCACAGATGACCTGACCACCGGAGATACGCACCCGAGAGAATAGACGTCACCACCCGACAGCGAAATATGCAAATGAGGCCAGGATTGGCTAATATTTAAATTCAGGGCGAATGTCAAGGCCCGAGAGAAATGAAGTGAGACAGCATGAGATTGAGAGGGCAATGACGATTTCCACCTTTATCATCACTTCCGTCTCTACTGTCAATCGCTATGCACCGCTTTAAGTTTCTATAATTTTGTGTCCATTGCGTGGGTCCAATTAAGAAGCTTTTCGTGCAAACTTGACAACGGAGGAGGGAACAAGGTACTCCGGACCTTATCCCGATGTTTTGAGTATCTCTACTGTCAATCGCTTTGCATCGCTTTAAGTTTCTATAATTTTCGTGTCCATTGCGTGGGTTCAATTAAGAAGCTCTTCGTGCCAACTTGACAACGGAGGAGGGAACAAGGTTCTCCGGACCTTATCCGGAGGTTTTGAGTATCTCTACTGTCAATCACTTTGCATCGCTTCAAGTTTCTGTAATTTTCGTGTCCATCGTGTGGGTCCAATTAAGAAGCTTTTCGTGCAAACTCGACAGCGGAAGTAGGAACAAGGTTCTCCGGACCTTATCCGGGGGTTTTGAGGTGACTGAGGACAATTTCGAGGCGAAATACAAGTGGCGAATATTCAGGAGAAACTCCAGGCGAATATTTTATTCATCGCGCGAACACGTGGCGAGGAACAGAGTCGAGGCGTAATATTGGGTCAGGACGAATAATTCGAGTGAGTGTGCACATATAAAATATTATCATTGGTGCTACGGGCTCATTAGTGAGTACGAGCATTTTGGGGTTCATTGAAGCTCCTGTCAGCTTCTCTAACAGGAGGAATCTCATTGCGAACGGAGACTATCGACTCCATCTTGATAAAAGCGCGTGGCCGTCGAGTCGGTGCTATACCGGAGCGAATCGCAATAAATTATTGTGAGCGTTGCGAGCATCTGAGCGAAAACTCACATTAGGATAAATTGATCACGAGTAAAAGGCGTTGTGGAAGCCCAGGCAGGGTCTACGCACCTGTTCACCGTACATTTATTATTGACGAATTATTAAATTAACCACCGAGCCTCCGTATTGTTTCTCCGGATAGCAATTCACTAGTCATTCTGGGATCGTAATTTCTTTGAATTGTATTTGATTTGGTGAACCGAGGTTCGTAATTTATATTATTACTATTATTATTATTTTCGATTAGTTTCTTTTTCTCTATTTTTCTCATGGAACAAAAAGTATCATTGAATTTCTAGAATTATTATTTTGGGTGACGACCCGCCTGTAGCAAAATTGATTTTTTTTCCGTTTATAAAATTAGTTAAGTTCCATTCTTTAGAATATAGACCGTTCAGTGACTCGATAATCTTTCTCTTTTTTGAACAATATCCTCTCCTCCAAAAATATACAATAGAGTAAATAAATTAGATCAAGCACGAGCACACTGGACAACAAACGGGTAACGGTGTGCATTGCACTGCGTGCATCTGGAAGCAGAGTTCTCAGGAAAGTATTTTCCACAATTCCTTAGCTTTTGATTCATTCCTCCGAATTCAAGATGCGCGGTCAGACGACTTATAGTAATTTTGGCAGATTACATTATATTATTATCATTATTTCCCAAGACCACTGAGTTTAGTGAATTTACAGTTTTGAATCTACGTCCATTGTCACTTTTTGGTCACAACACGTAACCTTTCCCATTGCCTGATATTACAGAAACACCAGACAATGTCACAAAATCATGAGAACCAACCTATCTTAAAATGTGTTGAATATTCAGAAAAAAAAGTTCCCCGTCTGAAAAATGAAATTTTGTTGTTTTTTTTGGAAAAAATTATTTTAAGCAAGCAAGGATTCCAGCCTATCTGACAGAAGGCATGTTACCGTTACTTTTTGCGTCATTAGTCTCTTTTTTTTATTTCTCCCAATTCCATTGGTAGCAGGCTTCCGAATGGATCCGTAGGAATCGAGATAAGCGGTAGCGTATCGCCCAAGTCACGTCTGATAACCTCATAAAAACGACGAGAGCTACCAAGTATCTATACACGACACAACTTCCCCTTCCACTATCCTTAACTGACTTTCCATCAACTAATAAAAAATGCGGCCACTTAGACGAAAAAAGTCCTTAGTTACACTACATAAATCACCAATCCGCTTTCTACTGATGCAGTTATCAATTCAATTCATTCAATATTTACGAACATCACTGAGGAGGGACTACTAAAGAGGTGCAGCTTTATGGGTCTTTCCGTCCATTGAATTGTAAGGCGAAGGCAGGCATTGAAATATACTATACACTGGAAAGGGCACTGCAATGCCAGACTCGTAAACAGAAAACTAGCCAGAGGGAATTAGATTTTGGGGACCACCTCTCTCTCTCTCGACGGTGCGCATGCGCGTAACGTGCCAAACGACACACGGTACAAGTGAGTTGAGAAGCTTAGGTTGAGTTATGTGAATTGATGTGTTAAAGATTGTTTTGATGCTAGAAGGATAAATAAATATTGTTAGACACGCAAGAAATAGTCAAATGAAATATTAAAGACAATACGAATATGTAGTATTAGACTTTAGACTGCACTTCCACCTTGTGGTATTCTACGCAATTTACTTTGGTCACATGCTATGGGACACCCTGTATTATTTCATGTGTATACTGGGTACTCCCCTGCCACATTTATACCGTGTACTACACGGAGAAAAAAATACATCGTAATTTTGTGAGAATCCTTCCACAAATTAGTGTGCTGTTCACCAACGCTGGGAGATAACAGGGAGTCATCGGAGAATTCGCATGTGGCACACTAATTTTTACGGGAATCCCCCGAAAAAGTGGCCGGAGTCCCACCAAAAATTAGGGTGCCACTTATGAATTTTTCGATGACCCCATGTTATGTCCCGGCGTTAGGGGACAGCACACTAATTTTTGGGAGATTTTTTTCTCAGTGTACAAGCAGTATGTAAATCAATAAATCAATAAATTGGTGATGAAAGTGCCAATGCAGTGCTCGTAATAATAAGAAGACCGGTATCGTGCCAAAAAAATTGCAATTGGCGTGTGGAAGACTTCCAAACATCCAGGCTGTTCTTTACTCATGTTCAAGTGAGTGAAATTTTTCAATGATCGTTTTTTTTATTTCTATAATCGCTGATGACTCAAATTCAGAGTTAACCCAGTGTCAACCCTGGGTTTGCGGAGAAAAAAATTTCACTTGAAATAGTATTTTTTTTTTAAATTTATTTACTGCTTTTTAGTTACATGGTAACAATTTGCAGGGGGTAGTTTTACACATAAGGTTGAAAAATATTATATAAATAAATAAAAGTAAAAGACATTTGTCTAAAAATAGTTGATATTCAGCGATAGCAAGAAAATTCCAAAATTCAGTTACATAACCAGATGAATTTTCATAAAATTAATCCAACGATTTTGTTCCTGTTTGAATATATCACAGCATTCAGTTATTTGACAATTGAAATCTCAATTGCAAAGCTTTTTTACAATAGTAATAGAGGTCACTTGAAGCAGTATTTAAGGTTGAGTAAATTTTACGTACGAAACAATTCCATAGAAATCCTAGCAAGACAATTCGCTACACAGT